ATGTATTCCTGTGCTTCTTCTCTAGTGAAGCTTCCACTTTTTCTCAGCATATCAACAAAGGCACAAGCAATGATACCATCCACGTTAAGAATTAAATTAGGCTTCTTACTTGTAGTTATCTTCTCGACTTCTAACGCGTATTCAACTAAAGGCTTGGCAGGGAAATTCTCCATTACGAATTCCTTAATGAGCTTTACTCGCATATCCGGATTATTTATAGATTTTATACGATGGCCAATACCCATGATCAGTTTGCCCTTTTTACGTGTATTATTTACAAATTCTTGTGGATGTAATCCAGCGTCGTAGGCTTCGGAGAACATACGAGCAGCACCGTCCAACGCTCCTCCAAAACGATCACCCTATTGTTGGAGTTTAAAAAGCTATATATATTATCACCGTTTTCATTCCCGTAGAGTAAAACACCCAGTAAAGTGTCTTTGTTTCGACGATAACTTACAATAGTTAAAAGGCCGGATACCAAAGAGCTGACTAAATCTTTGCCAGCACGAGCGCATACAATAGTGTTGTGCGCTCCTGAGACGGCAGGACCATGGTCGGCTGTCAACATTAAAGACATTTCGAGGAATTTACAATACATGGGTGGCAAGCACCTTTGGAACCACAACAGTGAGACCACACCACCGATTCCCACGTTTTGCTTCAGCACTTCGGTCACAGGCATTCCGGCGTACAGTAATTCCTGTCCGCGCTCGTCGCAAATAGATGTCATGAACGAGGCCGGTTTCCTTATTAAACCGAGTTCCTAAAAGATTCGAATGGTTGTATTATCGGGAACGCTGTACAATATTGAATGTAATTATTAAATCTATTTATATTACTCTGGCCCAACTGTAGTCCATAGGAACGGTTGGCGGTGGAACTTCCGGTTCTGGGACGATCGCTCCTTCTTTGACGAGTTTCTCGTAAACGGTGTGAATCAGTTCGCCAAGAGTGTCGAAGCTGTCGGGTACATACGCGCCGGCAGCTTTCAACGCTGCGTTCTTAGCAGAGGCCGTTTCCAAGTTGCTATGGGCTATCGATCCAGCATGGCCGAACTGCACCTCGGAATTGAACATGCTGGCACAGGTACCGATACACCAAGCAATCAACGGTTTAGTAATTCTCTTCGCCTTCAGTGCTTCGCACACTTCGTACTCTTCCACACCGCCGACTTCGCCCAGGAGAACTATGAGCTTCACCTCCGGATTTTGTTGGTAACGCATTATATGATTCATGAAAGTAGTTCCCGGGTAACGATCTCCTCCGATCGCAACACCTTCCAGCACTCCGTTCGAAGCTTTTGAAACGATATTGTTCAATTCATTGGACATTCCACCGGAACGGGAAACATACGCCACGCTGGATAATCAAATTTTTTCATTAGAGCAAGTACAACTACCTTTCGCGGTACTACGACTACTTCGAACGAGGCGATTACCTTCCAGGTCTGTAGAGTTTACTGTGCAGAATGTTATCCATCATTCCGCCGGTGTTACCAATCTTGAAGCAGCCAGGTTTCACACCTCCGACAGTAGCGGGACCAATGATGGTGACGCCTTTCTGTTCTGCCATTAAAATCAGCTTTCTTGTCATATTTTCGGGTATACCTTCGGCGATAATAGCAATTGTTCTAATCTGAGGGAATTGCATGGTCTCGACAGTGCTTTCATAAGCTGATCTCAACGATGCGAACGTGACCATAACATCGGCATCCGTGTGTTTGGTCATCGCATCTTTCATCTGCTTATAAACTGGGATCAACACCTATCGCGTTGAAAGTGGATATTATATAGCGATTACGTACATTCTTAGAAACACACTTGATACAGCGAACGAATAATTTTGCATGTGTACCTCTTTGTGACCCCAGTAGAACTTTTGTTTATGATCGCCCGTGAAGGGATATACGATAGCAGCTACAGATGGTTCGGATCTACGACAAACGAAGTCAAAGTCTAGCATACTTTGAACGGCCCTAGTTTGCATTCCCCAAATAATGGCCCTAGTTTTACTGCTGAAAAGTAGTTTGTTCGCCGATCCATCGACCGAGTCGCTTGTCTTTAATTTGGGCTGTTTGGTAGGCGAACAAGAAGTACTTTTCGACGGAGCTGTAGGACCGACATCTTGACCAGACGGTAGCAAAAAGTTTGCCGTGGAAAATTCTTGAGCCTCGGGATCGGGGATCGGTTTCTTGCCCAACGCCATTGCGCATATAGCCGTCATATGAGTTTCAGGACCAAATACATAAACGGGGATACCGAGCCTTCTGCCAACTTCGCGTATAATTCTGCAATTAGAACCGCACACGATCGTTTATCCATGTCCCGTCGATGTTGATGTGGTTCGCAGCTCTTAATAACTATGCGTACCTCAGTCCCTCTTGATAATTAGGTCCTGCTCTTCTTACAAATATCTGTATGTTGTGTTCTACGAGTTTCGGTTGATACTCTTGTAACGCCTTAACGATACCCTTAAATGTAGCGGCCACATTTGTAAAGTTAGCGATGCCACCACCGATAATCAATACTTTTCCCTCTTTGCGTTTCTCTTTTGTCATTAAGCTCAATATGGTTTTCGCGTAATCGTAAGTCTGCTGCTCGCTAGGTGCACCAGAGTATTCGCCGTAATTGGCCAACTCATTCGCAGCACCCAAATCACAAATTGTATCCGAATAAATTACGGATGCACCTGGAAAGAAGGTACGTTGGATATATAAAAATAGGCGAGTGTAAGATCAACCCGGCCAAAGTAAAGGATAACGACTTGACAATCACAATTCGGTTAGCATGAACCAGATTAATCACGTAAATGATACTGCTGTGCGCTTCTACTGACCACCGCCAGCAACCATTGTCCATATCCGACCAGATGGATTAAGAATGGTTAATTTCAAGCTAGCTCCAGATTTAGCGTCTAAGTCAGCAATATAGGCCTCTTCTGGATAAGCATCTCGTCCGAAGGGTGGCGGGTAATCAATTTCTCCCCAATCCGGTCTGCATACGAAGTCAGCGGTAGTATCCAATTTTGCAGCAAGATCAAGTATATAGATTCCATTATCCGTTACTACCAACGGATTTATTTCCAAATACGTGAAGTATAAATTAACGTAAAGCTTGTACAGAGATTCTATAAATTTTGCGATAGTTCTGAAACGATAAAGATGATATTATTTAATTAATGTCGAAATAAGCTAACATTTTATCTTTCCGTAGCTCACCCCTTTTTATCGTTTGCCACATTTACTAATAGCTTCTCTATTAACGTAGCTTGATCCGGCAATCCTTCTCCAACAGGTACGTCCAGTTTCAAAGCTTTCGCGTCGACATCTCCGATATCAACACCACCTTCGTGATGAAATAATATGGTGTCGGCTTTTCGATGAGAATAGATACAGACGTAAGCTTCTTCTTCCTACGATTCATAATGCATTGTTAATACGTATTTTTTATATTATAGTTTCAGTAACAGTAACAACAAGCGTTCACCTGTTTGTGCGGAACAAAAGGTTCAATGATAAATGTTCTAAGTTTCCCAGTCGCTTTTCCAACTTGTTGATCCTTGTTCATTCTTCCAGCGATCCATTGTTTCACTGTGGCCAAGTCTGCATTCACCTTGATCAAACCAAGCTTTCCCCGCCTTTTGATCAACTGGTCAGGCTTTACAACCAACTTCTCCGATTGTAACCATGGATTGTTGTTTACAACGTCTGCCCAGTTTGTATCTTCCGTGATGGTCACAAATCTGCATTTCACTGCACTTGTGCCAGATGGAAGTTTACGATTAATCAAGTCCTTTCCTGTTGCCTCTCGGATTGCTTTCGCCGACATTTTGTTAAGTTCCTAAAATCGAATATTTTATTATAGGTATTATCCATAGAAAAATATTTCACGGAATTATTAATCGGTAAATGTAAAAGTTGAACTTTTATATATAATATAATTTTTCCCCTGCGGTACGCTACTTCCGCGTTAAAAGAAAAAGAAAAGGTATCGGGTTTAAAAATTCTCGAGTTTATATCGTAGACCTAAGTAAAAGTCGACCGACCGCATTCCAGCGCCGAACAGCGTTAATTCGTCGAAATTCAAATGATTAGTAGTCAAATTCATCACAGTTGAAATAAACGAGCGTTTCGTTCGTTGAATTTAATTGATTACGTTTCCTAACATTTCAAGTTCTAAACAGAAAAAAGAATATTACTCAACTATCGATCAGTGTTACGAATCATTTAAACTTTTCCTGTTTCTCTTCTTACCGTGCGTCGTTAAATATCGTTCTATACCTGACATTATTTGCCATTTAAATAGCACGCATTTTTCTGTGTGTTATACAACCATCGTCCATACGATTTGCAATACATCCGCGTTATGCATTTGCATCTAATGTACATACTTTCATACGCAAGTGCACTTCAAATTCTAACAAAGTTTTTAACGCATAGAAAATATCAGTCTATAATGAAGGTAATGAAAAGAAAGAAAGAAAGAAAGAAAAAA